CTCTGCCAAGGCTGGGGGAAGAAAATCGAATCCCATTCATTCATACTTTCATGTTTGCTGAGTATCCCCTATGTTCCAGGCACTGCCTTGGGGACACAGTAGTGACTAACATTCCAGTGCAGGGAGCCAGGAGTAGGCAGATAGCACTTTCTAGGGAGGGAAGGAGGTGCTATGGAGAAAGTAAAGCAGAAAACTGAACGAGTGGTGGGAGCCCAGCGTGGGCTCCAGGCAGAGGGATCAGCAAGCAAGAGCAAAGGCCCTGGGGTGGGAGCGCGCATGGCAAGCCAGGCCCGCAGGAAGGCAGAGGAGTGGACCATGGCAGTGGACCAGGGAAAGAGTCAGGTGCCGAGGTCGGGGCAGGGGTTAGATCGTAGGACCTTGCAGATGGCTTCACATGGCTTTGTGCTGTGCCCAGGTCAGCTGGAGAACCTTTGGAGGATCTTGACTTGTTTTTTTACTTCTGTGTTAAAGAATCACTCTGGCTGCTGAGTGGTGAACAGACTTGGGGGCTGGGGCAAACGTGGGTGCAGGAAAACCAGTTTGGAGGCTGATGGTGGTCTAGGGGCTGGATTCTAGGTACACTTTCAAAGACAAGCTGATGGGGTCTCCTGATGTCTTGGATGTGAGTGTTAGAGGAAAAAGAAGTTTGCTGAAGTTGACTTTATATGGAAACCATTTTCAAAGTGCTCGTGTGCATATTATTAGGGTCTTTGATGACCCCTGGAAGGTGGGCAGGACTTCTCTTTACAGATGGAGAGTCTGAGGGCCAGAGACAGAAGGGGCTTGTCCCATGTCACAGGTGTTGTTTCTTAGACCCAGGCCATTGGCTGCTCCTGAGGCATTTAATCTCGTTTCGTGCTTTATGTTCTGAGAGAGCCTGAGCAGGAGGGCTGTGCAGGCCGGGAGAGGGTGAGCTGGGCTCCAAGAGGGGGTCTGCACAGAGGCCAGTGTGAAAGGAGTTGAGGCACCACAGGCGGGGCCTGGGGTTATGGTCGGAGGCTGTCTCTGCACCCTCCACCCTGCAGAGCAAACGTCCTTCACCCTCAGTAGAAAGACTGGGAAGGTGCCACCCTTGGCTCTGCTGGCTCCCCTCTGGCACTAGACTGCAGAGTCGATTCTACTTATTACCACCCTGAGCTTCCACTCCAGCACCTTCCATGGTGGTCACAGCATGATTTGTTGGTGACACAGAGGTCCCACTGGCCTCAGAACAGTTGGGGAAACCCAGACCCTTTGCAGTAATTCAGGGAGGAAATGGGATAAATGGGAGGGTGACCCTGCGCTGCCAAAAGGCTCAAGACATCTTGTCACCCGGTTCCTCAGTGGGGTCCCAGCTGGAACAGAATCTAGCCCTTGCGGTTCAAGAGACTTCAATGCTGGGACTGTTATTACAGAGTTTGGGCAGGTTAAGGAAACCCAGAGACTAGCCGCAATGGGGGCTGTTGTTACCACCGGACCTAAAAAGGAGGAGGAAAGGTACTCCTGGAGGCCCGAGGGCTGGAGCATGAAGGAAGGACTGCCCCGAGGGAGCAGTGGTCATGGGGCCACGGTCAGGGCCAGAGCAGGGCCAACAGGGCAGAACCTCCCCGGCTCTCCTCCCCGAGGAAGGTCTCGCATTGGCCAACCCCGCCAGAATCCAGAAGGCGAGGGAACCCCTGGTGCTGCCGTCCTCAGGATCAGCCTTGGGGTACACAGGGCAGGGCCAAGAACAGAAGAAGGGAGAGGCAGAGGGAGAATAACAAACACACCAGAGATGCCTCAAACCTGGGGGAAATGTGTGCTTAAACACAGCGTTGATCGTTCATTACTGCTTTCCCCTGAACCTGTGCTTAAGTTACCACTGGAGAAAATCAAGTTCTCGGGAAAGAATATTCTGGTAGGAATAGTGATTAGGTACTAAAATCCAGAGACTGAAATTTTGACTCCTGGGGACTTTCCAAAACAGACTTAAAAAATCACTGGCTTCAGATGTCAGAGAGCTTTCAGAAGGCAGAGGAATAGACCTAAGCCCCAGGAAGTCATTTCTAGCTCTAGTGTTAACGTATGTGATCCAGTATTTTCCAAAGTGGCCTATATAATTTTGATATAATGGAAACATAAGTCATTTTCCAGGCAGAGTCTATACTAGCAGATAGGCTACTACTATGTAACCCTTTTCAGGGCAGACACATCTGGATAATTGGGATGGTGTAGATGGGTCTTAAAGTCCTCATAAATTCTAGATAATTAGGATGCTTTGGAACCAAAAGGAATTTGTTGTAAACTGGGACTAAACATGTTGCCTTCTTAGTGTGAAAATTTTTTTTAATTAAGACTTTTTTTTATTCCTCTTTTTCCTCAACTAAAATCTAGGTTTCCACAGGCGACCAGCTGACCTTTTGATTTGAGCAGAATTTGCTACTGCTTATAAAGTCAAAGATCAATGCTTATCAAAAATCGTCAGCCTGGAAATCTCTTTAATTTCCTGAGCTGTGTAGGTGGCTTTTCTGATAACATGCACTCATTCTGATGCTACATTTTGGAGGCGGTCTGCATCTGAAAAGCGCACTACAATCTGCTTCCCCCCCAACACCCAGGCACATTGGTCGGCAATTCCCATCAGTCCTTTCTAGCTGCTCCATGGGGCCAAGGCTGGGTCACAAAGCTCTGAATTCACTCCATCTATCCAGAGAGAGGGAGATGGGAGCGCAGACCTGCAGGAGGGCCTCCACACTTCACTGAGGTGCACCCCTTTAGGTCCCTGTCTCCTTCGCCTTCTCTCGGTGGCTGCTTCATGGTGTTTCTGTCCTTTTTTGCCCTTTTTTTCCCCTTTCTCCTCTGGTAGGGATTTTTGGGAAAGGATCTTAAATTGTAAGGGTTTGCACTCCCACTCCTTTAAATCATCTCTAGATCACTTATAATACCTAATACAATGTAAATGCTATGTAAACAGTTATAACTACAATGTAAATGCTATGTAAATCGTTGCCAGTGCACATCAAATGCAAGTTATGCTCTTTGGAACTTTCTGGAATCTTTTAAAAAATATATTTTCTAGGGGACTTCCCTGGTGGTCCAGTGGTTGGGACTCCCCTCTTCCGCTGCAGGGGGCAAGGGTTCAATCCCCGGTCAGGGAATTAGGATCCTGCATGCCGTGCAGTGTGGCCAAAAATTTTTAGATAAAATAAAATAAAATAAATCTGCTACCCCTGGTTGGTTGAATCTGCAGATGTGGAAGGCGGACTGTAATTCTTCTGAAAGAAAGAAGGCAACCTTCACTGACAGTGCATACATTCCTCCAGCTGATAGGGGCACTGCATTCGATTACTGTCAGTACCCTAGAAAGTTAAAAGGATAAATTTGTATTTCTAGATATAATTAAACAGTTGTGATTTCCACTTTATTATCTTTCTTTTCTTTTATCATGCCATTTCTTTAGTTCAATATAGCAAGAAAAAAGATGAAAATGGAACTCCAAGCCTATGTAAAAGCTTGTGCTGATGAATTAAACCAAAGCACCTCATTCATTCATTCATCCAATCATTCATTCAATGTTATTAACAAGGAATACTTTTTGAGTATTTACTCTGTGCCAAACTTTATGCTAAGAACTTTAGATGATTACCTCATTCAATCTATATAATTACTCTATGGGATAACTGCTAATATTATCACTATTTCATAAGTAAGAAATTTTCAAGAAATATGCCAGGTCCTATGCTAAATGGGGAGGAACAGAAAAACTAACATATTTTCTTGGCATCAAGGATTTAGGACCATGGAGGCAGAGACAAATGCATAAACAAAAACATAAAATAAAACATTATAGGAGCCACCATGACCAGCTGTTAGGGTCCAGCTGGGCACACAGGAGGGAATGGTCCCTTCTCCTTAGTGTTATTCAGCTGGCTGTAAGTCCTGAGGCTTTCCAATGGGTTGGGAAAAAATGGGCCTAGCACCAGCATCTCAACACACTTGTTTTTCAGCCAAAGCTCTTGGCCACTCCCCCTTTTCCCAATCACCTCTGCTTGCAGGTTCCCCCTCCACCCTGTTGACTGTGTTATCCCCCAGACCCTTGGGTATGCTCACCCCCAGCCCTAGAAAAGAAAAGCCCAATACTTTCTGTGATAACCAGGTTGTGATGTAAAAAGTATACTCTGTTAACTGTAGGTACCCTAAGCCCTCTTAGGAAAGCCAGCCTGGGAAGATACCATGATCAACTTTTGAGGGCAGAGCAGGGAGGTTACAAGGTGAAAAGTCAAAAGTAATGCTTAAAGATGAGAGAGTAAGAGGAATTTGCCGTGCTCCTGAGAGGAAGAAGGAAAAAGAAATGAGGCAGAGAGAAGCCAGAGCTACCCAGAGGGTGGGTCCCTAGGGGTAAAAGTAGCAGAAACAGGTGGTCCATGCTGGTGGCCCAAGGAAACTTCTAAGAATGAGGACGCCTAGTGGCCAGTTGTAGTTGTAATCCCTTTCTTCCCATCCCCACTGCACACACACACACACACACACACACACACACACACACACACACACACACACAAGGTAGAGAGGTCTACCACATTCAGGAATACCTTGACACCTTTTGGAGGAAAACAAAGGGCTGAGTCTTGTGTGAGGGTGAATGCACTGTGGCATACAGACAGGGAGCTAGGTGCAGGGGCAGATCCAAAGTTCATGGAATCTGAAGCTCATACAGTTTGGTGAGATGCCCTTAAAGAAAAATAATATAAAAATATCAACCTTTTGCAAATTTTACCAAAACATATGACCACGTGAACACTTTGCTAGGGCCTCCCACAAGGGAACAGCCCTGGAATTTAAGCTTCATTAGCTTTCTTATAAATCTTTCACTGGGAAGACGTGACCACAGGAGAGCCAGACCCCATTTGAAAATCCTCAGAAATTTTTGAGGGGGCTTTGGGCTCCATAGTCCACACAATGGGGGAGTTTGAGTCAAGCTGATCTAGATCTCAGGGGTTGGCTGGATATGACTGACAGCTGGGTTATAATCACTTTCCTAGTCTCCAGAACAAACTACAATCTCAGAGGAGGAGAGACCACGGTGAAGGAGGGACTAAAGGCAGCTGCGTCGGAACCTGGAAGGGTAAGTCTGAGAGCTTGCGTTTCTGGAGGGGATGGGAGGGAGGATGACCACAGGCCTGCAGAGTGAGGTGAGCCGGCTCTTTAAAAGCTCTTCAAGTCTTATTAGAAAATTGCAATGGAGAGATCCCCTGCCCTCTCCTCCATCCCAGGGTACACAGTAAGGTCTGTCCTCCACTCTGATTACCCTCATTTTGGCGCTCAGAAAGAAGCTAATCAGAAGACACACATTGTACAAGCTACTTCAAGTGCAATTTAGAATTCAGCGTGACGAAGGGAGTCATCGGGTGTGTGATTATAAAGAAACATTCCAACAGAATTAAGGCATGAAGGTGCAGGGGTGGGCGGGTGGACAGGGATGGTCAGAAGAAACAGGGCACAGCTCACCACCACTCTCAATAGTTCCCAGCTCTGCACACCAACCAATGAGGAAACACAGCTTCCCTGTGTTCCTGCATATCCAGTAGCATCGCCAATAATCCTCACAACCCTCTCAGTGGCGTGTATTAGTTTTCTCTTGCTGCTGTAACAAATTACCATAAATTTAATGTCTTAAAATAATACATTTATTTTCTTATAGTTCCATAGGTCAGAAGCCTGAGATGAGTCTCACTGGGCTTAAATCAAGGATTGATGTCAGCGGAGCTGCATTCCTTGCTGGAGGCTCTGGGGAGAAATCATTCTCTTTTCCAGCTTCTAGAAGCTGTCTACACTCCTTGGTCCCCTTCCATCTTCAAAGCCAGCAAGTCTTTCTCACATCTCATTACTGTGACATTGACTCTCCTGCCTCCCTCTTTCAGATGTAAGGATCCTTGTGATTACATTGGCCTCACCCAGATAATCCAAAATAATCTCTTTATTTTAAAGTCCAGGTGATTAGCAACCTTACTTCTCTTTTCCCAAATAATGTAACATATTCACAGGTTCCAGGGATTAGGGAATTAGTATGTGGACATCTTTGGGGCCATTATTCTTCTTATCACAATAGGAAATATTATTATCTCCTATTTTCCAGGTGAGAAAAATGAGGCACAGAGAGGTCCTGTGGCTTGCTCAACATCACAGAGCCGGTGAGCAGTAAAGTTGGGATTCACCCAGGCCCATCTGATGCCAGACCCTGTATTCTTAACCTTTAAACTGTACTCCTTTCATATAATCATTGTTCTTTTGTTCAATACTTTATTGAATTTTATTTGACACTTCCATTGATAGAAGCATTTGAGTAAGGCAAAGGCTCTGGGGGCAGGAACTGCTGGTGGTATGGACATGCAGGTGTGGGAGAGGCATACTGTATACCCCATAACAGTGCCAAGTGGGGGACCATCTGCCTGTGTTAGGTCACAAGAGACCGGGGTTCACATCTCAGCTCTGTCACTTGTATCTATGTGCCTTCCAGCCAATTGCTGGATCTCCTGAGTTTCCTCTGCAAATGATAATAACAGAACAGAACCCACCTTACAGGCTTGTTATAGTAACTAGAACAGCATGTATGAAGCTTCCAGCTGTGCCTAGAGCACAGGTGGTGTTCCAGGAATGCTGCTGTTACTACCTCTCTCTCCTTGGCCCCTCTCCCCAAGGAACCTTAACTTCTCGCAGGTAGGTACTAACAGAGGAAATGGTGGCTGAGAGTTCTGGATTCTGAGGAAGCAGATCTGGGGAAGCTGAATCAGAACAGGTAGGAGGAGGACAAGGAGCTCTGCTTTTATCTGTCTTAGGTAGAGTCCACATTAGAACTAATTAGAGAAAAGGGGCTCTGTGGCTAAAACACATTTTAAAAACACTGATGTCTCCCTCCCTCCCTTCCTTCCTTCTTTGTGTTTTCAGAAAAGTTTGGAAGAAGGAGAGGAGAAATAAAATGTCCATTAGATCTAGAGTTCTTGGTTGCAAGCAACAGAATCTGACTCTGACTAACTTAGATGAAAGTTGGAATTTAGTGGAAGGGCATGGGGTGACACCAAATTGAAGACAAAGTTGAACATCTGGGTCTCGGGAAGACAGGAGCATGTAGACAGCAGGAAGGAATAGATAGCCTCTTCAGGGCAGCAGTGCCCTGAGTGGAGCCCTTCCCGCTGGCCCCCTGGGCTTGGCACTGGGTCCACTATCCATCTTCCTGGGAAGCAGAGTTACTGGACTAGCCTGGGACGCTTGCTGGCCCCATGTCTCAGTAGGCAGGGAACCTTGACTGACTGTCCCACCAGAGCATCTCCAGAGGGCAAGATGGGGTTCCCCAAGAAGATACCAGCAAGCAAACAACTGTCACCTTTGACAAAGGTCACCTTTGCAAAGCAACCATCGGTCACCTTTGCTATGTTTGAAAATGTATCTTTCACCCCTGACCTGCCTCCAGGACTCTCTTTCATTTCCTCATTCTTTCTATTTAAACTGCAAAATGTCATTTTTGTAGGTACTGCCACCCTCCCCCCCGCCAAAAAAAAAAAAAAAAAAAAAACAGGAAAAAGAAAAGCTTCGTGCTTCTTGGACTTGGGGAGAAATACTTTGTTTTACCGTCAGTTGACTCAGGGTCAACTGAGTTTGGTTAATACGGGACTCTGAGCATAGTGGCCTTTTGCTGTGTCAGCATCAGTCGAAAAAGGACCACTATGTCACAAAAAACTCACCTGTTAAATCCTCATATTTTACAGTTGAGACACAGGTCGGAGATGCTCAGTGACCTGCTCAAGGTCACAAGGCAGTTTAGAGGCAGGATCTCTGCTGGTTCCTTCCATTAAACAACCTAGGCCTTTGGAGTGGCAGTGCCTCATCAAGAGGGAGCTTCCTCTTATCTGTCAGGCACAACGTTGCCCCATCATGGATGACGATGTGAGTGGCGCCTCCTGGCATTTGCGGTATGATATGGCGCTGAAACCCAGCACCCAAGGATGGGCTCCTGGGCGATGGAGCACCGCTGGCTGTGTTTGAGGTGTCCAGAGTCAGATGCAGCTCCTTTGTCAGTCCGTGCCCCTGAGGGCTTAAAAAAGGAAAGAAAGAAAAAGAAAAGAGAAACGCTTCCAATCTCTGATTTTACGGAACAAGGCAAATTTCTCGTTTTGACAGAATCAAAACCCAAATCCGCCTTACCAAGAGACCAGAGGAAAAAACAAAGTTCAATAGATTTTTTTTCTTAAACTGTTGGATCCCATTTGAAAGGAAATGGGTTTCGTTCTTTAAAAGAGAGAGACAAGAGAAATGAGAGTCTCTCCAGGATGGAGAATTCAAAAGTATGGTGTCCCTACGTGCCCGGAAACCAAGGGAGGGTCAGCAGTTTCAGGGTGTGGTTGACAGGTGATTTGACCAGGGGGTGTAGAACTGGAAGAGGGTAAGGTTTCTAGAAGAACTGGGGCGTCTCTTACTGTCCAGTGACTTCCAAATGGCATCCTTCAGTTTCAAGGAGGGCAGGGCAGGGTGAGCTACTCAAATCAAAGTTGGCACTACAGTGAGCCTCCAAGCCCCACCTCCAAATGCTGGGCCTAATTGTCTTGCTCTAAAGTAGATGGAATCTAAACCCAAACACCCCATTCTACCTTTATTGCATTTCTAGGCTGTCATTGCCCCCAGACTTTTCTTCCTGATGGGCCACTTGAGTGAAAAACAAAACAAAATAACCCAAGACCTTGCAGCAAAATGAAGCAAAACCTATCCTGTATTTCACCAGGAATAAAGTATTCTGTTGTTGATTTTTTAATGCAGACACTTTGCCTTAGTATGATTTATACCTCATTTTATCTTTCCGATACATTTAGCCATCAGTGGGTGGGAAGTTTTCAGAGCCCTGCTCAAATGTCATCTTATCCAAGAGATTGGCCATCCTATCCCCAAGAGAATATTCCTTAGTACCTAGAAAAGCCCTGTCATATATTAGGTGTCCAGTAAATATTTGTTGAATGAATGAATGACAAATTCTTTCACTCAGATGCGCCCAGACCCGGTTGTGCTGATGCCCAAAATATTCATCGACTACCCTCCGAGGTAGATAAAGTGGGCACAGTATGGGAGGGATAAAGGGAATAGTACCCCAGGCTGCTGCCCTGGAGGACTTGAATGTGTAATTTGGGAGGAAAAAAAAAATGTACGTGTTATAGAAGTTAGTGAACTCGTAACAGAAACAGAGCAACAAGGAGGCAAATGGGGCCGTCCATCTGCAAGTGATTTCATTCATCCATCGAATGTCCTGAGTGCTGACTGAGGCTGGCTGCTCAGCTGAGTGCTGTGGCATGATGAATCCTGAGGTCCACGCTGCCCTCCCCGAGCCTTGAGTCTGGTGGGGTGAAGGGAGAGTGAGAAGAACGCCCAGAGACAGGGAAAATTTAGGTCTCAGGCTTTATAAGAAACTTATTTAATATTCTTTAATTACCTTAAAATCAATGTAGAAATTTGACTAAGAATTGAGGATTGAAAAATCTATTTTAAGTTCACGTAATTGATTTTGTGGGATCAACTTTTAGAGCTGGGCAGAGCTTGGAGATGCTCTAGCCCACCCCACCCCCTCATTTATTATCAAATGTGGAAAGCGAGGTTCAGATCAGCCAATGAATAGTTTTCCATATAAGAAAGAGGGTCCACATCCCTAGGGTGACAAAATCACAATCTCTATATGGTCATATATAGTGGAGAAAGCATGCAATATGATAGCGACTTTGTGGTCGTGGAATTTTACTTTTTAAATTTTATACATCATTAAAGCAGGATATGAGATTTGTGTGTTTATCAAAATGAGAGTGTATGCCTGAGCCAGTCCTCTGCCAAAGTAACATTGTTGTGAAAGATAATGAAAGAGAGAGAAGCTGCCCAGATCAGAGGAAGCCATGGAGACCTAGTGACTGTATGTGCCATGATAAATGACTCATGGTTATGTAAGATGTTAACAACAGAGGGACCTAGGGGAAGAGCACACAGAGTTTTCTGTACCATCTTTGCAAATCTTCACAATTATTTGAAAATAAAAAGCAATTTTTAAGAAGGAGAGCATGGTGTGGTAGATTGTATTTTCTAAAAGTGGATGCCACA